GTAATGCGAAGAGCAGCAGCGAAGGCCAGCTCCGCCACAGCCCAGCACGGGGAAGCGGGGTGAAGGCCGCTGCAGCCGCCTCCCGGGGCTCTGGGGCAAACCCAAGGTCTGTGAGAAAGAGCAGAGCTTGCTCCCAGTGGGTGCGGAGCACTTCCTCCGAGAGCAGCCAGCGGGAATCTGCTCCCAGGCTCCCATCCCAGCTCCTCCGTGTCACCCCTGTCCCTATGCTGTGGAAGCATCCTGGGGCGGGGGGCCTGGGCACCCCCAGCACCGGCTTGCACCCCCAGCCATGCACCCTGAAGGATGTGATTTGGAGAGTGAAGACCCCGAAATCTCGTTGTGCATCCCCCTGGGTGCATCCTGGCACTCAGTGCAGGGCTGGGCTGTGGCACACTGGTCCCAGTCCCAGCACTCAGCTCCCGAGCCAACAGCACCCAGGCTCTCTCCCAGCCCTGAGGATGGAAACCCCCAAAGCCCCTCACCCCAACTCGTTTCGTAACGAGACCAGAGACCGTCTTGCCTCCAAACATCCCCGGGCGGTGGTAACCTGGGTAGCGTGTGAGCACACACTCACACTCACATTCAGTCACACTCACACTCACTCTCACGCATCCCCTTCCCCCCCCGCCTGGCTGTCCAGGTGAGTACCCCATCGCCCGCCCACCCTGTCCCATGGCCACTTACTGAACTTCTTGAAGCCCCCTCGTTTCTGGCCCTCAGCCATGGCTGTGCCGGTTGGAGGCCGCAGGGACCGAGAGGGACAAGTTTATAACCGTGAAGCCCTTCCCTGCCTGCTCCTCCCTTCCTGCCCCCCCCGCCGCGGTCGCTCATCGCTCATTCGGCGTTTCCTCCCCAATGCTGTCATCTGCTCCGGGCCCACTCCTGTCCCTGCCCGCCCTCCTGCCGTCCCCACAGTCCCCATGTCTGCTGGCACCCGCCTGGCTGCTCAGGGGCCACACTGCTGCCCTGGTTTGGGGATGCCTGGCAGATGTGGACACCCAAAAAACCCTGTGTGCCACCCCTGGAGGAGGGTGCCAGACCTGGATGAGGATGCCAGCCCTATGGATGAGGATGCCAGCCCTACGGATGAGGGTACCAGCCCTACGGATGAGGGTGCCAGCCCTATGGATGAGGATGCCAGCCCTATGGATGAGGGGACCCGCCCTACGGATGGGGGTGCCAACGGGTACCAGCCCTACGGATGAGGATGCCAGCCCTACGGATGAGGGTACCAGCCCTACGGATGAGGATGCCAGCCCTATGGATGAGGGTACCAGCCCTACGGATGAGGGTACCAGCCCTATGGATGAGGATGCCAACCCTGTAGGCAAGGGTCCGCCATACACATTTAGGGCTCAGCCCCTCCCCTCTTGGAGCCCCGCTGGGTGACAGCATCACTGCCACCAGATGTTCTCTCATGCTGGGGGACATCGGGGTGGCCCTTAGGAGTGTCTCCATGGAGAACTAGGTGGCCTGGGCCCTGCAGGGATCCGATGTTGTCCCCCATTCCTGGGGAGCACCTAGTGGTTCCCGTGGCCGGGATGGCAGCAGCCATCTCTGCTGCTGCTCTGGCTTTGGCTCCCTGTGCTCCCTGCCTTGAAGATCCGTTTTAAACAACACCAAAACAAGCTCTTTGTTCTACACCCACACATGGGCATTGCTGGTGGGATGGCGTCTGCAGCCGGCCACGTTTCTGCCATCAGGGCAGGAACTCAGCGTCCCCTGGAGTGTCCTCCTGCCCTGGCCATGGGGTCCCCTCACCACAGCCCCCGGTTGCGGGCACAGCGCAGAGCCAGGGAGGAGAAATGCTGTTAAATCCCGTGTGGGTTTAAGTACAGAGGGGACATGGTGACATGCTTCAGTGCCACCAGCCCCGGGGGGCTGCTTGGTGACCTGGGCCATGTGGAGGTACACGGGTGACAGCGGCGGGGGGAGCGGGGTACTGCGGTGGTTCCCCGAAGACGCTGGAGCATGGACACGGCCATGGGTACGCTCTGGGGTGCCACACGGCGCGGCGAGGGCCCAGCCGCGCCCCCAGAAGGGTGACAGGCGGTGACAACATGGCCGCCGCCCCCGCCGGACTACAAATCCCAGGAGGCTTCGCGCGGGCGGCGGGAGGGGCGGTGCTGTGCGCGTAACCGGAAGGGGCGTGGCACGTGACGGAACAGGCGCGGCGCGGTGCTGTGGCAACGGCGGCGGCCGGCATGGCCAAGCAGTACGACATGGTGGAGTGTCCCTTCTGCGATGAGGTCTCCAAGTACGAGAAGCTCGCCAAGATCGGGCAGGGCACCTTCGGGTGAGCGTCCCGCCGGCCCCGTCCCGTCCCGCTACCGGCCCCGGCCCTCCCCGGCCCTCTCCGGGCCTACCCCGCCCTCGGGCCTGCTCGCCGGGCCCGGCCCCTTCAGCCCCGTGGCCCGTCCGCCCCAGGCCGGCGTGCCTCTTCCTTGGGTGTCCTTTCCGCTCTGGCCCCAGGGAGTCAGCCTGGCCCTTGAGGCCTCTTTTTCCCACCCCGAAGCCCTGCTCTGTCCCAGGCGCTTGATGAGGACAGTTTACCCTGGAGACAGTCGGGGCGGGGACCTGTAACTTTATCGAAAACATGCAACTTTGCCCAAAATCCTCGTGGGGATCGGGTTGGCTTAGGCAATCCTGAGGGCCAAAGGGAACACGGCTAGGCAGGTTAGTGACTCAGCACAGAGCTCTATGTGTGCTCTAGCGTGTCTTGTTTTGTCTTGTCCTGGGTTGGGAGCACCCAGGTCCTTACCTTCTTCCTTGTGCTGCTCACGGATTTCTTTCTGTTTTTACAGTGAAGTTTTCAAAGCCAAACATCGTCAGACAGGCAAGAAAGTAGCGCTGAAGAAAGTGTTGATGGAAAATGAGAAGGAGGGGGTAAGTGTGGGAGCGTGGCTGGGCTGTGTTTGGAAGGCCTGGATAGGAGGAGTTCATAGGTGAAAGCTAATCTTTGGAATGTGGAGTGGTTTAACCCCAGCTGGCAACTAGGACCACGCAGCCGCTTGCTCGCTCCCCTGAGTTGAGATGCGGGAGAGAATCACAAGAGTAAAAGTGAGGAGAAACTCATGGGTTGAGATAAAGACAGTTTAATAGGGAGAGCAAAAGCTGCGCACGCAAGCAAAGCAAAACATTCACTGCTTCCCATTGGCAGGCAGGTGTTCAGCTATCTCCAGGAAAGCAGAGTTCCATCATGTGTAACGGTTACTTGGGAAGACAAACGCCATAACTTCAAATGTCTCCCCCCCTTCCTTCTTCTTCCCTCAGCTTTATATACTGAGTATGATGTCACATAATATGGAATATTCCTTTGGTCAGTTGGGGTTAGCTGTCCTGGCTATGTTTCCTCTCAATTTCTTGTGCCTACTCGCTGGCAGGGCGGTGTGAGGACCAGAAAAGGCGTGACTGCCTAGCAACAACCAAAAACACCAGTGTGCCATCAACACCATTTCTCATCTCAAATCCAAAACATAGCACGATGCCAGCTGCTAGGAGAGAAGTCAACTCTATCCCAGCTGAAACCATGACAGGATGGCAGAGAGGCATTTTCCCCTCTGTTCTTTAACAATATTTACTGCTATAATGTGCCGGATCTTGAACCTGTAAGGGTGTGGACAGGATCCTAGCCCTGTGGCCTTTTTCCTTTCCTACTGATACTGTGATAATGTTGGGTTTTGTGGTTGCCCTACCAAAGTACATGGGCTGTTACTACCTTCTTCGCTGCAAAGGCACTTGGCAGCTGTGCGGTGGCTGTGCTGTGCAGGACAGCTGCTGGGAGGTGACACTGCCCATGTGTTCCTCTTGCTGTGCAAAACCCAGTCACCCCCGGTGCTGGTCTCCACACTGGCTGTCATTTGTGGAAGAACTGGGTAATGCGTGAAAGGCACATGCTCAGGAGTGTGCAGCGACGGGGCAAGCTGGGGAGAGAGTTAACAGCTTAAACAGCACTGGCAGCTGGCTGCACCATGTCCTGTTAGGAGCATGCAAGGTGAGGAGAGCAGGGAGAGGTGTTTGTGTGCTAGTCTCGGCACCACGCAAACACCTCTGTCTCATGGCAGAATCCCTCTCACTAGTGGTGGCCTAATGGTGGATAAATTTTGGCAATCCCGGGTTGATGGTATGTTTTTAAGCTCTGATTGCCCTTCAGTGACTTGTCATGGTGCTGCTCGAGCCCGTCCCTTGCCAAGCTGCCATGGTCACATCTATCCTGTTCTCTAGGCAGGGGTGGCCTCGTCTCCTGCACACCTAATTCCTGTCCTCTCTTTCTCCTTTCCAGTTCCCCATCACAGCCTTGCGAGAGATTAAAATCCTCCAGCTGCTCAAACATGAGAATGTGGTGAACCTCATAGAAATCTGCAGGACCAAAGGTAGCTTGAGCGGTTCTCCCTTTTGCTGGCTGTCAGCTTTTTTTCAGTCCTTCTTTGCCACTGAGCAGGCTGGTGGTTTGTGGTAGGAGCGGGGTCTTTTGGCTGAGCACGGGCCTCTGTTCCTGCCTGTGATGTGAGTTGATGGGATGCTCATCTTAGAACACAGTTTCTAAATGAGTTAGGATGTTGCTGCAGTTTGGCTGGAAAAAGCTGTTGTCGCTCCTGCTAGGATATGACTGTGCTGTGGTGGTCAATGCTGCCTGTGTTGAGAAACTCCTGTCTGAGAGGCATTAAATAAACCAGCACCAGAGAGATTTTGCAGCAGAGGGTTCTCAGCCTAGAGCTGATCGCATGGCTGTGCACGGCTGGTTCCCTGTCGGGAGCTGGACCCATCCCTCTCAGTTGGCTTATGACAGTTTGTGGCAGCTCTGAGCTGATGACACAGCTCCAGCGGGAGACTCGCTCAGCATCTCTTTCTGTGGGTGACAGTAACCGCTCGTGCTGTGAGGGCTGGGACTCCACACGGCGCGGTTCTGAGCTGCTCTTCCGCCTCCTCGCTTCCACCTCACGCAGCATGCCTCTGCTGCGTGACTGGCATGCTCAGTGCACTTGGCCTGGCTCTGTTTCCAGCGAAATTACATAAAACCTAGCAAATGTTTAAAGCATCATTCTCTTAGGTGGATTTGTACTGGAAAAATAATTTTGAAAGTGACAGCTGATGTTAAAGCCTGCCATTCTCTAGGCAGTCATTTCAGTTAAACAGAAATGAAAGTGGCGGGTATCTGGTGATGATGTTTTCAAAAACATCCAGTCACTGAATTGGTAGAAATCTCTGGCCTAGGACTGGGAACTTGAAGTTACTCCAGTACTCCATTGCATGTAGATTATTGTCTGAACAGGTATGAGTATAAACACCAATGACAAGTTAATTTTTAATTCATTGTGTGATAAAATGAGTTGTGATGATTGCGTGTCTGGCATACCTTAGGTAAATATTTTTGTAGATATGTCAGTTGTTTGTGTTTTGTTTGAATTCCAGTCTTCATCCAAATCTGCCTTGACCTCAGTTTCCAGTAAAGTAGAAATGTTGCATTTGCTGCTCTCAAACTTTAGGCTTTTCTCTTTTTACATCAGAAAGGTGCGGTAGGGTCTGTATCTGTGTAAGGAACTGCAAACCCAGTCTAGCTGGCAGAGGAGAGCGGTGTGTTTCCATGGGGGCTGAGCTTAGCCATCATTTTCCAGTTGGAGTTGCTGATCAGCAGGTTTTGCTGATTACAGCTGATGAAAATCAGCCTTTCTTTTTAATAATGATTTGCATGTGTGCTCTAGGAACAAGATTGAAATCGATTGCTTCATTTGAGGTTTCCTGTTATTGACTTTGTATTGCAATTCGAGTTTTAAATCACTTTGATCCAGATCAGTCTGTTTTTGTAGATGCTGTCTGAGGTTGCAGTAAACGTTACTTTCTAATGTTACAACCGACAGATTTTCTCTGTTTCTGCATTTTTCCTGGGGCTGTCTTTGTGGGTGCCTCCTCTGTCGCTGATGCAGTCAGTGATAGGTGCCAGGCTGGCAGCTAGCGGTACGGGCACCTACCAGCCACAACTTGCAGGGAGGAAACCCCACAGCCGTTATGTGCACAAAACAACACTAAATGAAGCTTTCAAAGATTTTCGTGCCCTTTCCTTCCCTGTCTGATGACATTCACTACTCTGATCCTCATCCCCTGTTCTTCTGTTGCTAATTGTGCTGCCTTAGTGCTAGTTGTGCTGCCTTAGTGCCTCTTTATGAAGGATCTTGAGGCCTGCAGGGTGTCTCTGGTTCTCTGTTCCTGTGCCCTGAGGTTTTGTCTAGTGAGCATTGTACGAGCAGCAGAGTGGCTGGAGGTCAGGAGGAGCTGTGACGGGGCTCAGGGTCCCTCACTAACTACTTGCCTCTCCCGTAGCCTCTCCATACAACCGCTGCAAGGGCAGTATCTACCTTGTGTTTGACTTCTGCGAGCACGACCTGGCTGGCCTTCTCAGCAATGCCCACGTCAAGTTCACGCTCTCAGAGATCAAGAAAGTTATGCAGATGCTATTGAATGGACTTTACTACATCCACAGGAACAAGGTAATGGGCCAGATCCGTGCTGTGCCCTGAGGTCACCCTGCTCTCTGTGGCCTTGCAAGGAGCAGGTGTCTTAGCACAGGCTGGAGGGAAATCCTTCTTCGTCCTCCACCTTCGGAATCTGAGTGCCTTGCTGGCACCAGGCACCCAAGGAGAGTACCTTAATGGCTTATTTCGATGTCTGTCCTCATACAGATCTTGCATCGAGACATGAAAGCTGCGAATGTCCTGATCACGCGGGATGGAGTCCTGAAGCTTGCGGATTTTGGGCTGGCTCGAGCTTTCAGCCTGGCTAAGAACAGCCAACCGAACCGCTACACCAACCGGGTGGTGACTCTGTGGTATCGGCCGCCAGAGCTGCTCCTAGGTAGGAAGTGACGGGCTCTGCCAGCTTCTCTGCCCTTCTCGTTCTCCCCGGTGACTAACATGGCATCTCCATTTAGGGGAGCGGGACTATGGTCCCCCCATTGATCTCTGGGGCGGAGGCTGCATCATGGCAGAGATGTGGACCCGCAGCCCCATCATGCAGGGGAACACAGAGCAGCACCAGCTCACCCTCATCAGCCAGCTCTGCGGATCCATCACGCCGGAGGTGAGGGCGAGAGAGTGGGATGCTGTGGAAGGCGGGAGGAGAGCTGCAAAGCGGGTGGTGTGGGCAGGGTCTGGGACCGGGCACGCCTGGACCTCTTCCCTACCCTGTGTGCTCACTGCTGCACACTCCTGGCACTGGAGTGTGCCTTCCCAGCACTGGTAGGGAGCCTGGCGAGGGTCCTGCAAATGCTATTTACGTCCAGGGAGCTGAGTGCCCAGTGGGACACTGCGCTTTCCTTGCTGCTCTGTGTAAACTACAGCTGTCATGTTACTTATGTTCAACCTCTGAAACATAAGAGGGTGAACTTGGCCTACCTGATCTCCTTTGAGAGGGGCAAGTCCTGTCCTCGTTTTTGAGCACCTCTCTGCGCTGGCTGCTCCAACTGTGAAAGAACAGAACATTACATGTAGAAATCTGTTCTAGTCTGTGTTTGTCTCTCAGATAAATGCCCTCTGAATTTCTGCTTAAAGAAGGGGTTTTTTTTTTGTTTCGTATTAAGGGGTTTGTCTCAGGTGCTTTGCACCGGTCACCTTGAAAATCTTCTTTTATTCTGGCTTCTGATTTGTGGCATCAGCTCAGCCCTGGTGTGAGCACTCAGCCCTTTCTCAGCTCCTTATTTAACGGCAGCTTGTCCTGCCCTCTTGTGGGGGATCGAGCTGAGGGATCTCTTGTCAGAGTTGTAATCTGGGGGGTGTGATAGGCAGGCAGCTGCAGAGGCCTGATGCCTCCGTTACATACATCATGTATATGCATCGAAGGTGATTTCTTTTGTATGTAAATACCTGCTGTGGTCTCTCCCAGCTCAGGGTTGAGGTAAGAGCTGGTGACTGAAGCAAGCTTTGCTTTCTAAGGATAAAAGGTACCACATACATCCAGGTTGGTTTTGAGCAATGCGTTTTGTCGTTTTACCTTTCTGGATGTTGTAGCTGGCCTGAGCCGTGCTCTCTAATAGCTCTTTTGTGGGAGAACCAGAAACCCTGGAGCATCCTGCGTGCCATTCCCACACCAGGAGGACTCTGTCCTGACTTGTCCACGTGTCTCGAGGCTTTAGTGCACTCTTTAGTGCGTCCTTCATGCTGTGGGAACAAGGTCTGCCGGCTTGGAGGTTATAAAATAGTATTGTTCTCCCAGCAGACCTCGCCCTGGTTTGCCTGGGGGTGTTAGCATCAAAAATGGCTTGTCCTCTCCTCTCTGTAACTATTTCTTCCCAACCCTCCCTTTCTGCTCCTTCCCAGGTTTGGCCAAACGTGGATAAATATGAGCTGTACCAGAAGCTGGATCTCCCCAAGGGCCAGAAGCGCAAGGTGAAGGATCGCCTGAAAGCCTACGTTAAAGACCCCTATGCACTCGACCTCATCGACAAGTTGCTGGTGCTGGATCCCGCCCAGCGGATTGACAGCGATGATGCGCTGAACCATGACTTCTTCTGGTCAGACCCCATGCCCTCGGACCTCAAAAACATGCTGTCCACCCACAACCAGTCCATGTTCGAGTACCTGGCCCCACCACGCAGGAGGGGTGGGCACATGCCCCAGCAGCCGGCTAACCAGGGCAGGAACCCGACTGCCACCAACCAGACTGAATTTGACAGGGTGTTTTGACCGGGGTCTTCCCCAGCGGGGTCCCGGCTGGCCTACTCCGCAAGTTGCATCGAGCGGGGATGTTCCGGTGTGGTCTTTCTGTCTGGGAAAAAGGACTTTCTTTAAGGCGAAGTGCCTGCTGGCTTGAACCGAGCTCTACCGTCTTCTCTTCTCCTGCAGCAGCTCAGCCACCGCAGAGCTGCATAATTGGGAGGTGACACCTGCAAGCCCGGAGTTATTTCCCTGCAGCTTTGGCACAGAGCCTGTGTCCCCCCTGCAACAGTCAGTATTGGTTACATTAATCTTGTGGATCGATCGTTATGGACCTGGTGATGGAGAAAGTGGCTCTGTTGGTGCTGGGACTCTTGGCAAATGGTGCTGTGACCTGCAGGACTGGAAGTAACTGCCCTGGACCAAACTGGGCCCTGCTGGGAGATGTTTCGCCTCCTGCACAGTGTATCCTCTGAATACTGAAATGTTGATGTAGGACAAGGCAGGTGCTTCTGAGTAATGCAGAGGTGTCCTGGGGAAGGCAGAGTCACTCCAGGCAGCACGAATAACTCTCACTGGAGTTTGGGCTGTAGCCTAGAAAGGGGCTCGCTGGGCAAACCAGAGGAGTGGCTGCCAGAGCTGGTTGCTCCATACATCCAGGATTTACAGGGGAAATCACTGGTCTCTGTAACAGCACGCGGCATCTACGCCTTCTTCACTGCAAACTGCAGTTTGGAGTCTTGTGGGACACACCCAGCCTGCTGCGTGCTTTCCCCGTAGCGCGGGCTGCGGCGGGAGTTTGGATGGGGAGGGGAGTTGCGAGCGCTGGCCTCCGCCTGGGGTGAGACCTGCCGTCCCGCTGTCTGCAGGGATTTCACCACGGCAGAGTGACTCTAAACACTCGCATGTCCATTCCTCTGGCCTGGAGCTCTTTGCACGAGTCTAGAGCAAGCCCCGCCGCCTTCCCCGGGTGCAGCGACCAGCCTGATGCGCTGCACTGGTGTGCGCGCACCTTCTGCCAGAGCTTGTCGGGACTCGTAGAGAGCGAGGGCTCCTTCACAGCCCGCTGCGGCGGAACACATCGTCTTCCATGGCTGTCAGGTGCAGCTGGCCATCTTCTCGGTGAGCCCCATGGATCCCAAGACTTCCAAACAAATAACCTGTACGACATGCAGTGGGTGATAACCTTTGGCATTTGATAGGTTGTCCATTAACTAGACTGATGGCAAAAGCCACGTCGGTAGCATAAGGTCTCAGGGGAGGAAACGGTGGTGAGCGGGGGGCCGTTCTCAGGACAAAAAGTGAGGATGATAGAGGACGTGTACAAGGTAAATCTCTCTTGGTGTGGGGCTCTGAAATAGTGTCTGGGTAACGGGGGAGGGGGGCTTGATTTCTTTGGAAGAAATGAATTTGGTTGCCAGCAATAAGCCAGATGACTTCTGCCGGTTGTGAATAAACACAATCCTGTCCCAAACGGTTGGTTTTAACCCTGTGTCACTTTTTTGCCTAAACGGGGAAAGCAGTCGGAGTGCTGTAAAGCGGCACCTCTGTCATCCCCGAGGACGGGTCGTCCGCGTTTGGGTTCGGACGTGGTGACTCCGCTGCCGCCCTGCCCTCCTGGGGGGCCCGCTGCTAAGGGGGGGTGGCTCCATGCAATTAACGCTGTGGTGGCTTAACCCGTAGCGTGAGCAGAGGTGGCTGCTGGGGACAGCCCGGCTGCTCCGCTGGCACCGGGTGGGG